ACACAGGAAGGGAGTGAGTACGTATCACATTACAACAACAAGAACCATATAAGTAACATACATAAAACAGGAAAAATCTAGAACCTCCTCCGATTTTCCCACAACAATTTCTCTTCACGCAGGTCTCTCTCAACAATCCAAACACGATACTTCTCTTTAGAGATTCAATTACCTATCGAAAACCAGAAAAGCCCGACGGTAATGGGCCCTGTTTCTGAGACAATGAGGGGCGTGCCGATGAGGAAGACTCATTGAGAGGCCTGACTAGGATTATCAGCGGGATCAGCTAATAGACGCTCTAGGGGTCTCTCAACATCTGATTCTCCTGCATGCGCGCGACGATGGCCCTCTTGTCGCGCTCGTCCGGAGAAGACATTTGCTGTCAAGTCGTATGCGGCAATTGACATCACAAAGTGGCATGACATTTTTCAAAGTTGCAATAGCCTGTCGATTGCAGCACCGGATTTCATGTACAGTCCTCATCATTACGGACTGTCGGGGCGGCACAGCCGCGCTGCACTGTGACGCGACAGCGGCTGCGGCTCGACGGTGAATCAGCTGATTTCGATGGAATTCGGCTGCAAATTCCCACTTTTTCAGCTCTTCAAGCTTCTAAAGTGGAAGGTGAGTTATTTGAACAATTTTGAATTGTACTGGCTCTAATTTCCTTTACTTTTATGTCTTTTTAGGGTATTGCTGTAGCCGTGACCAAGATGATATAACAGTTTTATTGGCTAACGTTTCGGCCTTATCGCCTTCGTCAGAGCCTGGAAAAAGTCAAAAATCAAAGTGAAACTACCCTCGGAAATCATTTCAAACCTCAGATAAGCTAGTCCCAGACCAGAAGGATCCAGAAACCTGTCATAGGTCACAACCACAAAACGACTCACCTTGAATGTACGGCCGGTTTTTGCTTGAGACCACCGCTAAACTGACTCCCCGTGGGTGGCTTCAGCTGACCTGGCCCCTCGACTCGAAGCCGATGGCAATTGAAGCCCACACAGGTCAGCAAACGGGGCGAGCTCGTTTGTGATGGCCAGGCATTCGTCCTTTCTGTTCATTTGGATTTTTAGATTTTTATAGCGCCTATCCCAAAACGCTCCAAAGTTTTGCGCGCCGAAGTTTTGGTTCTCGCATCAAAATCCTAACCGTCACCTCAAACTCCACGCCTCCATGGCACTGAACCCGATGACTGCCCAGGGGGGTCTCTGGCCTAGATCGCCTTAGACCATCTAGGTGCTCCTTTACCCTGGAGCACAGGGGTCGTCCAGTCTCCCCGATGTACTCATCCCACAACTCGTGCGCATATCAGGTAGATCACAACCTCAGGCCATCGGGTCTCCCTCCCGCCCAGAAGGACATGTGACACAATGTGGGGTTGGGCAGTCATACCCGGTTGCGGATCAGCTGCTGCTTGAGGCTCGCAGGAGGGATCTCGACCAGCCGAACCATATTGTCGAGACCACACCTGCGCAAAGACGATCTCACAGCAGCGCTGATCGCATCGCTAACGAAGGGTCGGCAAAATGGTACCTTTTCCAACCCTCGGTCACAGGACTTTGTTGGCTCCTAGTGGGTGGTCCAGGGGGCATTTGCCTTTTGGGGGGTAGCCATTGGAGAGGGTTATTTTCCGAGCTAACTCCAGGGACTCTTCTCTTTCCTTCTCACCTGATGAGACCATTTTGGCTGTCCTGAACATGTTCCTGTTGATAGCCCGTTTGAACTTCAAAGTATGCCAAGATTCATCGAGGGTCGAACTGGACACCTATTGTTATGCTCTTTCCCTTGTATTTAGCATTATTTCAGGCATTTATAGGGCGAATGGCTGCATTCTTTCAGATTCATTCAGAGCCAGTACAATTTAAAATTGTTCAGAATAACTCACCTTCCACTTTAGAAGCTTGAAGAGCTGAAAAAGTGGGAATTTGCAGCCGAATTCCATCGAAATCAGCTGATTCACCGTCACCGAGCCGCAGCCGCTGTCGCGTCACAGTGCAGCGCGGCTGTGCCGCCCCGACAGTACGTAATGATGAGGACTGTACAACTGACCTCAGGACGAAATTAGATTGGGCTATCTGTTACACAGTCGGCGCATTTTGCACTTTCACTGCTTCACGACCTTCGATTTACCTTGTCCCACTCTTGTGAGACTATCTAGATGGGACGACACATCGAAGGAAAGCAAAATGCCCTCCCCCTTCGCCGAACTGCGCCCACCTTTTCTATCGACCTATTAGTTCCACATGCGTGCGTAGAAGAGGCGTGGCAACTGGGTACCGCGTGAGCGACATTCGCACCAGGAACGAAACGGTTCAACGCGGCATCTGAGTCCTGATAGATCTCTAGTGGTACTCTTTACCACAGTTCCCAGTAAAGGTAGACAGAAAAACCAACGCACAAAGTTGCTGCGCGCTGCATGATAGTGATCTAGCAAAGTCGCCTTCCATTCAGAGTTACAGGGTCAAAAATGTTCAAATGTATTTCCATATAAGACTATTCTCAGGTAAGTTGATACCATCACCCACCTTGGCGCCATGGCGTTGGCTCGTAGAGGTAATCACCAGTGTCCGGATGCTGAATACCTGCTGGATCCCGTCCGACAATGTACGTGTGCACACCGGCAGCAATTCGAGCTCTAAAACAGGAAAATAGTGGAAATAAACGGATGCACCCTTAAATGGAACCGTGATGAGAGTGATTTTCAAACTTCTAGTTCAAGCCCAAACTACCAACAGCGGAAGTTGCTATGGCTTTTTTGTGTTGTTAGACGTAATGTGCATGAAAAAGAGCTTTCAAGAAACGGGGCGTAAAGAATATGGAGGAGTTTCCTAGTGAACAAACGATAGACAGGAAAGAAAGACGAAAAACGTTGAAGCAGTAAAGGTTATATTTTAAAAATCGAGAGAGGTTTCGAGACAACTACCCCGTAGGAGTTCTCCACAAATACTGCAAAAGTGGCTCCAGCGTCTGCAATCCGCTGGATTCCTCATGATTAAATCAAGTACTCAAAACTATGGAGGTTAAAGTTTCTCACCTTGCGTGCCATTGTACTTCTGTAGGTCCTGCATACAGCATCGGTGATGGGAAGATGGACAGTACGGTCCATGAGGGATCCAGGACACCTTCAGCAATCACTGCCTCATGCTGACGCATTCGAACTGATAACGGAACATCATCGTTTTTCGTCCATCCGCCTAAAGTTTGAACATTTTAATTCACAAATGAGTCGTTGAAGAGAAATCTTCCTGGCGCAAAACCATAATGTGCGTTAGCCTTAAAGGCAGTTGGCACGATAAATCCCCCAAGACGACTAGGATCAATACTCCTGGCAGGATAGAATTCCGCGACCCTGGGCAGGCGCTGCATAGCGGTTTCCCCGAGGAAGGTGCCCTTATAAGGGCCCTATCAAGCCACAACTTTACGTCCCAAAACGCCCGCCCCCACAAATGGACGACCGTTCCTGACGCTCGTATTCATTCATTTGCTAAGCAAATTATGAAGCGAAGGGATTGGTATGAAGCGGCCGTGATGCTGCATGCATACATGGGTACACATATGCAGCCGTATCTTCGGTAGCGGTGATTGGTAAGATGCCTACGGGAAACTCGTCCGAAATCGATTTTTCTTCGCAGGATTTTGACCGTTTCACTCCGTTCTTTCGCCATTTCCCACTATACAGCGCCCTACTAGCATTTTAGGCCTAGTAGGAAACCATCGTGCCAACTGCCTTTAACCAACTTAGTTCATCAGATAAAACATGGAACGCGAACACGCCCTCTCATCCCATTCATTTGTGATCGCTGTTCTCAGCAAGACAAACCAATACGTAACCTACCTCCACAGGGGAGGGGGATCGGTCGCAGGAGGAAAGGGAGAGAGTTGAAAGACTGTTATGGTTGATAAAACTTCACTAATTCGTTTATTCCCGTTTCACGCCCTCCCCCTTCCCCATATAGTGTCGTAGTCGGAGTTGTCATCATGAATGTAGAACTTCGAGAGCATTTCATAGGTTAATAACTGTTGTACAACATTTTCATCCAGATGACCCTCTACCCTGTGCATTTTTTACAAGCGACATTCCTAACCGCGAGAACATCTCATGGTGGTCAGCGCTTCTCATGTTGACTTTTACGAAATTCACAGCCCTACCAGACGGTCGCTAATGTCCTGCGGAAGAGTTTGAGCAATCCACAACGGAAAACATACCCAACGGATGTAGAAGCAACATAGGATTACGGTACTTCTTCAGTAGTTTCTCTCTTGTGTCACGCATAAGAAGTGCATGGCCGTTGTGGATAGGATTTGCGAAGTTTGGAACACAAATACTGCGTCAGCGCCTGAATAAAAGAACGATTAGGTGGTATTCTTCCGAAGCTATAATATGTTTAGGAGAAATGAGGCGGATTTTAATGACCTACTTAAAGTTCAATTTTTTCGATTCGATAGGAAAAGCACTCAAAACCTATATTATGAACAAAAATCTGATTGCTTGAAAATTTGTGACCTGGTACCGAGGCCACGACTCAGGTTCTTCAAGCCAGTCTGAAATCTTCTCTGAATTTTTTTCCTAAAGGGAGTTAACACACTGTGCCAGAGGCAGCCCACCACAGTGTCCTCTCAACAGCGTGCCGTCCTTCACAAAGCGATGCAAAAAGGATCACATTAAAAGAGAAACACAATCTTAGACGCCCATCCTATCTGAAAACATTTTGGGGGGGAAAAGTAGAATTTGGCCTTTCAGAAGGCGTCAATCCTGGTATGCTGTCCAACAGTCCTTCCCTCGATGATAAGGCGTGTCAAAAAGGCTCGAGTCCGACTCGCCGCACCCGTTCTCCACTAGCCAAAGCGATGAGCGTCTCCACCAGCAAAGCGATGAACGACAACAACTGGTGGAAAACGACTGCTATGAGAGAAATGATACTTTTTCTTGGCGCTCGCCGAAAGAAAAAGAAAAGAAGAGAAACGGGCTGGCCCCGCAACCCCACCCCCTTTCACTCTGACAAGTACCATCATTCGCAGAAAACAAGACAGCATAATGTAAAAATTGTGTGAAATTTTCGGCCCAAATAGCATTCTGTTGACGGGAACTTGAGCAAGAGTTCGCCAAAACTCACCTTTCTCTTCAAATATCCTTCGCAGCTCACTTGGTGTCTTTCTAAAGCCATCTAGACCATCATCGAATGTGATCCGTTTCAGTACCTACAATCACTAATTAGGCGATGTTTAATAAGCATTTTTCTACAGTAGGGATGTCGAGCTAAATGTTGAGCACCGAATGTTCGGATGCCGGCTGCGACATCCTACTGCCAGGCAAATCCAGGACCGCCGCTTGTGTCAGCGAGCGATCAGAATGGTTGTAGAAGATGTCAAACCCACCTTCAAGTCACCTCCTAAGCACCATGGTCCACTGGAAAGCACCTGCTCAACAGCTGGATGTCGTGGATCAGTGAAAGCAAACTGTCTTGCAACTCGTTCTTCCCGTCGATGAGCGAATACTTCGCCGTCGTTGAGTACCGCAAGTACAACTCCCTGGCGCGTGAGCGCAATACACGGTGACACTTCGTCTCCTAAAAATACGAGAACCTGGTTTGAGCTTTATCTTCTGCCACCTCAAGCCACATTGTAGGTCGGATACTGGGTGGGGAGATGTTGCCAGCACCACTGGTAAGAGAGCATTCGCGAGGTCTTTTCGCCAATGGTGCCGGCGACTCTCACCAATTTCTATCCGACGCGGGCCGTATTTGAAGAAACAACCGTTCTGACTCAGGAGTACGCAGATGTCACTTTTCACCGATTGTCTGCGTTCTCCAAAGCCACAGTAGTACATAAATGCTCACCGTTGGTAATGCTCTGCTTTTGTTCATCCGTGATCGGCAGTACTATCGGTATACTCTGATTCACCGGCTCATCCATGGGCCATGGGTCTTCGGCGCCGTCGTCCTTAATCGAAAAGTATTTCGGATCGCTAATTACAGTTTTGAAGCATATTCCACGATCATCGTGTGGGCGGCACCGAGCTTACAACTGCTCCACTAGCGCGCCACCACTTTGCCTTCTTGGGAAGGGCAAACCCGTGAGCGGGATAGAACGATAGGGCCGGCAGGCGGTCCTGCATGTGAGCAGATGGGCGGCGTTAGATGTGCCTTTGAGGAATTAACTTGCTGCCAGAAGTCTACCACTTGGCACAAAAAGCCACTGTTATCGTAATCCAAAAAACCTTTCTCATCAAATTTCGTAGGTAAAGCGAAACGAAATGCAAAGTGAGATCGCGCCGCAGTGAATTTCGGTAGCTCCGTCAATTTGCAGAAATTTAAGACGTCAGGCAAAAACGCAAAACGAACACTTCTGTAACCTACTGACCGTGGAAACAGCAACGCAACGCAGCCGCTCGCGACAGATCGCGCTACCGGATAAGAGGGGACAACAAATACGCTGAGTAGTGAAAAAAGTCAATACCCATGCTTCAACTTACCTTTTCTCCTGGGAAAACAGTTTTCTTCTTCAAATCCAGAAGTTGGCCAAAATGAAGCGCTTGCAGATATTGACGTTCTCGCATGAATCCGGGCAAAGGTGTAGCCCAACCTTCGGATAACACCTGGAAGTATATATTTTCAGGTAAACTGCAGATTAGGTCTTCAGTAATTGAAAAGGCACAGTTCACAGTTAATGATATGGAATTAGTGACTTCGTCATCAGCGCCTTCCTCCTTTCCACCGTCTAAGGGAGGGAGCGCACCAATGAGGAAGGAACACTGGTCGACAGACTCCGCCCACACGATTAGCATGAACTGTCCTCTAATGTGAAAGAAGTGGACAGGTAAGGATCCAGTGTGCTCCTCATACCTAATAAATAATTTCGAATCATAATTCAGTTCTGAAAGGAAACGTTACCTGAAGCCATTGCACCTCCACCGGCCCCAGTTCGATTGAGGGCATTTTCTTAGCTGCTTCCAGCAATGTCGCTCTCTCTTCTGGGCTTTCAACAAACAGCTCTCTCAGCGGAGGTCCCGACAGTTGACGCATGGCCTGAAACATACAACTTTAAGGGGATCTTGTATCGTTGAGCGAAACTCATCAGCAGGGGGCCGTATATAGGTCGCTAGGGTATGGGTCACATATCACCTTGGAAGAACTTTCTGAACTGCTGATTTTTCCTTTTTCACCTGCGCTATATATTCTTCTCTCGATAGCCAAATATTGCGAGTAACTTGTAAAATGGTAGGTAAGTTCTCGAGAGGGAGCCGTAATCAAAGGAAAAATCTGAATAGAGAACGTATTGGTACCGCCACTGCACCTATTCCGATGCTGTACCCTGCCTCCGCCAGTACCTAACAGCAGCCAGACTGAGCCAATCGGCTCCGGATGATAAATTGCTGAATAAGAAATTCTTCCTTGAAGGCACGGCCCTCGGTCACCAGCATCTGCGCTTCGTAGATTAAGGTAGTATGGACCGTAGTGAACAGCTTCTCCTCAGTTTAGCGGTAGAACGTCTAGAGGCCCTAAGGTGCAAGTTTGCTGAAAGGACTCCGCAAAAAAGTCAGCTGCTCCATCAGGTTGCTAGGAGTCGTGACTCTCTCGCTTCTTTAGTCTGGTCTCTCGCCCAAGATTCCCAACGATTCTCTATGGCTTGGGAGCAGGAGGGTATTAATAAGGGCGTTTTCGACATTTTCCTCTTCATTTTGCTCTATAGGGAAATTAACATATGTTCGCCAAGGGATACTAAAAAGGCAAGTGGTTCCTCTATGAAGGACTCTTTCGAACTGACCTTATCTGGAATGATGCCTTGTTTGTGCAAGAACTCCAGCACTGTCTCCACACAACTGTCCACGTTGTGACCCTCAGATTCCGTGTCGATTACCTGGAAACATAATTTTTCAAAGGAATTAGATCCGAAGCGCAGATTTCATTTCTCTGCCATTTTTGGCGGTAAAACTACCTACCGTGAAACCTCAAAAAGGACTTTTCCCTCTCCTAGGGAGAGAGAATTGGAGAGAGAATTAGGGTGAACAGTAGAAAGAGGGCAAAACGATAATAGTGGAGACAGGTATCACAAAAATGCTTACTCACCAATTCTGCATCTTCCCGGTGGCTCTAAGAGCGCTGTCGAATACCGGTGAAACCGGAAAATTCTCCAGCCTGCCGAAGCTTTGGAGTAAGTTCGTGGAAAAGCTTCCACAATCCATAATTTCGTGAGAGGACAACAAAGGAGGTGAATCAACACTTCAGTTACAAAAAGTCAATGTGACCCTTTTTCAAAACGGAAGACTTCTAAAAGTAGTAGCTATACAGTAACGCCCAAAGTGGTTTCCGGGCCTATCAAAGGCGCGAGGCAAGTCTATCGTGCCTTTTGCGTTCGCCCCGTTTACCATTCTCATATTCGCATGTACCATTACTGTACTACTCAGTCCGAGTCCACTCTAGAGCGGAGAAAGGACAAGGGAACAATCAAAAACCCAATTCACGGTAGTCGCATGGGCTAAAGCATTATGTCCTAAACGGTGGTGTGCGTCTCCCCTCTTCTTTTTTTCTCCCCTTTACCACTTTCTTATAGAACGACGAGGGTAGCAGTGAGGAAAGTGCAGCTGGTGGAAGTATCCTCCCATCCAACTATCGTGGAATACATCAATGAGCCGACTTGTACAGTAACTACATTTGAGATGCGTGCTACGGCAAGCGCGAATAATCTAACGCATCCAATGTCTGTGGTGGAAGAATTGTAACTTCACTTGTTTCGAGCCGTAAAAAAGTGTGAACGGGTGTGAAGAACACATTCTTGACTGAAGTGGTCCGAACAGGTGTAGTTTTTTAGGTGGAGGGAGTTCTCAAAGAGCGTGCATTCAAATCAATGCAAAACTGCGAAGCTGGACTCGAAAAAAATCCGCATTGAAATAAATGCGCACGCTGCTCACTGTGAATAATGTTCTAAAAAGCTCAATTAGTCACTATGA